GTATATATATTTATATATATATGTATATATATTTATATATATATGTATATATATGGAGAGATATACAATATATATATAATATTTAACAATCTGTTTTCGGCTTTTTCCGTGAATTAAAACCGTAAATTGAGACAGTTTGTTGACCGATATATTTAAGTATTAATTTAGTTTTTTATATGGAAAAAAACCGTAATTTGCCATAGATATACATATAAATATAATCATTAAGAGGAAATGATGCATCTCACTCTGATTTCCTGCAGGGGTTTTTGGAGATATAACGTGGATGTTATAAAGTTTGGTTGTTCCAGCTGTTGAATTATATGTATTTTGTTCGCGCCCACTGTTGGTTTATATGTATTTTGATTGGTATGTATTTTGTATCGCGCCCGCTTATTTGATTTATGTTTTGTATTAAGATTCGCGCCCGTTTTGTTATTTTTATTGTTTTATGTGTTTTTAATATTTATTGTACTTTTTTATATTGCTTAACATCATTCCTTTTAGTTATGTGTGTATAAGCACTGCACTTGTTTTGCACTTATATATGTACATTGTACTTTTATTTTGTAACAGCACTTTATTTTATTGTTATTTGTATTATTTGCATGTACATAACTTAAAGCGTTTTTTTTTCGTACACTGTTACGTTACTGTAATTTTGCTTTTTTTCACTGATTTTTGGCATTTTCACAGCCTTTCACTTTAGGTCTTTTGTTTTTTTGTTAAACACCCATAGTACCGTCCACTAGGGCTCGAAGGACCATATTTAGCTTGTTGCTAAGTTGCACAAAAAACACTCACCACTTTCACTTTCACTTGCTCCCGAATAAAAAGAATAATTATGATATGAAAAATGTATATAAAGGATTTTCAAATACGCAGTTTTATTATAAAGTCTTTGAAATTAGAAAATGATTTGAAAAACGTGTTAAAACGATGTAGAGTTCCGGGGTGGCGCAGAAAAAGACTCCGCTGATCCACATGCGACGGCGATCGATCGAAAAGAAGGGGCCGTATCCCGTCTTCGATCCCTTTTGTTGGTTGGGTAGAGTGTGTTGGTATCCCTCGGTGAGTTGTGTGAAGTTGTACGTATTGGTGTGCGGTGTTTTCGGGTGTGGATGGTATTGTTGTGGTATGTTGGAATGTATTAGTGTTGCTTGTGAAATGGTGTGTGGCGCTTGTACAGGGATGTTCGCTGGGAAGGCTTATAGTTCATTTAGCCAAAATGTTTATTCTCTTCATTAAACACATATACCATAGATATATAATATATACCCAAGCTCTCCTAGTTTGAAAGCAAATTTTAAAATTTGAGGTCCGGCTTGAATTTAGACAATAAGATCAAAAGTTTTCTGTTTCAAAATATTTTATAACTTTTCAATAAATATTCATATTTTACAGAGTTACTGAGCTCTCGAGTAATGCGGTCAATACTTATCGGGTAAGGTCCACCAATGAGTTACGTTTATCACAATCATAACGTATTTGCTAAATATGTTTAGTTCGTCGGTAGGCATAATGTTGTCATTATGCTCTCTAGCTACGTGACCAACTTTAAGACCAGAAAGTTTTCGGAAATTGCATTTTTTTCGATATTTGCGGTTTTCTTCATCATGAATTCGTTCCAACGGGTCAATAAAGACTATTATTTGAGCGTTTACGTAAACGGCCGGAATTGTGGGCTAACAATTTCTGTAAACTTTCTGATCTTAAGCGATTGAAGCTGTGAAAGAGGCGTCGTATGTTGTTTGGGCATACGTTAGAGATGGACATCGGCAAAAGAAAATATGCCATATCCTACAGGTTTTCTTCGATAAAGGAGTGGGATAACACGCTCTGAAGCTAAAATCATCGAATCCTATTATTTTGTAAGCACTTAATTCGGACTGGTACTCTAACTTTGTTTTTTTAAGTCGGAAATAATTAAATAAAATATCTTATATATGTTTGTCGTCTGAGTTTTAAGCTAGCCAAAAAGATATTCAACTAAAAAATTTACTATATTCTGTTATAAAGGTACTCAAAATCCAAAATACGAATATACTCTAATCTCTCTCTTATGTACTCACATTGATTATGCTCTCTCCCCTTGCTGTGATTATGTGAGTTCCGTAAGCTCGATGTGACACCAATATAAACATTATTATTCAATGATGATGACGGTGAAGTATCTGCGACATTTGATTTTGTACGATACACTTTTTTACTGAACCCTTGATCTATTTTTTCGAGGCAAGCAACCCATTACAGTTGTAATTGTTGTCATTTTGTAAATATATAAAATACATATGTATGTGCAATAAGTCCACATTGTTTAGAAAAACATCGTATGCATACTAATATATTGGTGTAGTGGCATTCATTCATAGTTAAAAAATAGGTGGGTACATAGTGGCACATCCTCTCTTTGTCCCATAATATTCTCATCCACTTCATCCAATTAAGTGTAATTTAAGACAATTCCCAGAACAACACGCGAAAAAATGACATAGCAACGGAATAGTAAATGAAACAAGTGGATGCATTAAATTGTTGAAGGGATTGCTGAGGTAAATGAAGAACAGGCAGAGTGAACTAATGAATGTTAAGTGAAGCTTAAGGACTTTGATCTGAACAGGATGCTATGGACCTAACTGTATCTGGATGGCTTGTTGTGAGAAGGAGGACATGCGAGGAGTTTTGGAGCAGCGAAATTAACTCAAATGTAAGAAATAGTTGCGTTTAAGTATTTATTTGTATAAATTTATATGTTTTTGTACATTGCATTTATACACACCTTTGTTATTGTATTTCGCAACCACCACTGGCACGGTATTTAGAGCCACCGTCGGTGCTATTGTGGTTGCTGTCGTTGTGTGTGGAATGTCTGTAATGAAACATAGAAGAATATAGAACAGAGGCAAGTAGAGAGAATAGAGAGAAAAAGAAGTAGAGTTTAGGGATTACAAAAATTTGATTTACAAATTTAAGTCCAAGCAAAGTTTGAGTTTAGCTCCTCAGAACAATAAAATTCAACCAATTGGGGAATTCATCCAACTAATAATTGTAAAAAATCTATAATTACTTCACTTTAATTAAAAGCAAACCTTTAAGTACAAACGGATGTTTAAAATTAAAAATAAAGGTAACTCATTCAGTTATCCGTTATTTTTGCATAAAATTTAAAGTTTTTCTTATCATAGTAAGAATGGTCCGATTAAGGTCAAATATGCACCGATTTGTTCAATAACTTGTTGCAATTTTGAGAAAATTTCATAGTTCCTCTTTTATACAAACCCTCGTCCATATTGACACTAAATTGGGAATCTTCAAAAGCTTCTCTTGAGGCGAATATTGTTTTTCATTTGTTAACAGTACAAGACCGAACTAAGAATTTGCCCTGGGAGAGCGGTTCATAGTAGATATTCCCTTGTCAATCTCATCAAACGCATAAAAAAAATTTCTGGCACTCAGGTTTTTTGTGGCGCTCATCCATCGGGTTTGTTTTTTTTAACCAGCCTTATTTATGGTAAATGGTTCTGTCACCGATGAGGTGGCGCATATTTGGTTTATGGTTTATTTCTAAATACACAAGCATTTAAATTATTCACTTACAAAGAATTATTATATATTTCACTTACCGCAGTGTGTCCTTCCACCTTCCTTGCTGACTGATCGATGACAAAGCTCCAATATAATTTGCCAGAACTTATATGCACAAATATTGTCATTTACCGTACATATCAGCACAGGAGAATAGGGGAACTGCACACTGCAGTTTACAAACAACAAGCATGTAGATAACTTAACATATGTAGTTTGTGCCTACCTGTTTATGCGAAGGGAGAATGGCAAACATATAAATCGCACAAACAAGAAAACAGAAACTGTATAGCGATAAATGTATGTATGTAAATGGAATGCGAGACAATTCAAGAGCATATAAAGAAATTGGAATTGAAACATACAACTGTAAAATAAACATAGAAATTAAGTATAATATTAGGTTGGGCCCGAATCTACAACAGGTTCTAAACTGCCTTTTGTGCAAGGATCAGTTCCTAGGCACTGCTGTGTCTGAACGATTTCCATATTTTCGACAATATCAGCAATTGGCCTTCTAGAGCGCATCTTTAACATTAAAATTACTGGAATAAAATCGACGAAACCAAAAATGCTCATGATTGACTCCTACAGAATCAGGAAATATTATTATACAAAACTATTATTCACATTTTCAGTTGCGCAGTTTTCGTTTTCGCCTTTATCAAGGAAAAACCAAAAACACCACTGTACTTTCTTTGTGCTGATGCTTATCCAATCACAAACCTATCTATGAAGTTTTTTTTATCTTATCTAACGAAACCTTATCTTTCTAACTCCGTATAACGTAACTGATGTAAATATAGATTACTTATGCCATTTTTTGAAAAAAATGGATTTGCTTTTAATAGACATTATATACATATTTTATAAAATATTGATTTATTTCATTGACATTTTCGCTACTAAAATAATAATATTGATACTATTGCAACTAAATTTTGAAAGGTTTCTTTTTCCTGTAGCATATTTAACTCAATACCTACAGTAGGTAGTATTACTGATTGAAATTATTGGCTGATTTTTTAATTAAATACATATATTCTATAGCCACTCAAATTATTTAAAAAAATTTTGTTTCATATTTTGCGCTATAGAATTTTGAATTTTCATTTCTCTAATTGACCACAAAATTCATAGGAGAACTTGAATGCAAAACTGTCTTAATAAGTAATCCCTTTCTGTTACTTTTTTACTACTACTTAATCAAATAAGTTAGATCTACATGGTTTCAAATGGTATGGAACGAAATATGTTTATTGATTAACTTATCAAATAAATATATTCAATTATTTCTAAAGCGAAATCTTTCGATTTGAGTACTAACAATGAACTAAATAATTAAAATATGCTTTCAATTCTGAAACTGGCCAGCCACACAATACCTTGACTGCTGACCTAAGTGACTATGGCTCCTGGCCAACATATCCGGCACTTGAACACCTAAGCGTGTGCTTTGATTGTGAGTGTATGTGTGTTCATATCTACCATATACCACCTGTTCAACTGCATTACAATTAGTGCCACATTAATTATGCAATACTACTAAATTGTTGCCAACTAAGGCACAGTCAAATAAACCTAGAGATTATACAATAAGAAATTCGCCAAACACCACAACTACGTTTGTAAATATGTAAAAATCTATTATTGTTAAACATTCAAACAGTCACATAAGGTTTAAGCTAAATGCAATAATCTCTTATATAAACACTTTAATAATACATTTGTTTATATATTTGTAAGCTTGCCAGTAGAGGAATGAACGTTGTCCTGTTTGTTCTACCAATTTCATTGTTTACCTCGGAAATATTGTTTGTGATTAAACAATTTTATAGTTTAGAATATATACTATAATAATATTGAACAGTTTACAGAAAATATTAAGAGAGGCATAATGTTAGTAATTTCTTATACATATCTTAGTATATTTATAAACATCTCATTTCTCCTCAGTAATTGTTAATTTCTGAAGAAGTAATTATAATAATTGTAGGTGTACATATATATGTAGGGTGGCCTTGAATTACTCCGAGGTTTATACAATTCTCAAGCATTTATTTCAGTATGTTATCCAAAAAATTTAGTGGGCTCAATCCACATTATGTCACAGTATTTCAGCAGTTGTATTATTCAAAAAAAAAAGTCAGTTATTATTCCTTTTTTTGTATAGTGACCAATGAATGTTTTGTTTTGACTGTTTTCTGGTGCAACATACTCTTTTCCACAAAAATACGGAGGTTTTATTTCATTTTGTGACTAGTCTTACATAATACGGGCGAAATATAACTTATCAAGCAACTGGCTAGTATATCAACGTTTAGAATTGCGGAGAGCCACTGATTTCAGTAAATTTGAAAACGTACCAAAAATGATTGATGTTGCATTTTTGAATAATACTGTTTAAAGTAATTGGCAACGTTACCCAAATTTTGATGCATGTTAGGCTATCGGCTACTATACTCGCGCTAGAAGCCGTATTCAATAGGGGTCATTGGATCATTCTTAAGGTTATGGATTATATTATATAATACATTTCGAAGTGGCGAAAATTATTGGCCAGTCTATTTTTCTGTTACCCACGTATAGATCATTACAAGGCAGACCTTCTAAGGGTGGCGTTAAAAGGATTTTGGGAAGTTCTGTTCAATATTCGTTTATGTTTATGTTCGCAATGTCATGGGCAATAAAATATAAGCTTTCTTAAAATATTTCGCATCCAACAAAAGCACTTTTCACTATAGAAGCGTTATTTATCTGAAATGTACTTGCTCGTTTAAAATTGTTTACATTTTTGCATTTACATATTCGTTGGACAGTCTTAACTAAATAATTTTTTATCAGAAGCTGAAGCTTGGCTTTATTTATGATCAAATTTCACCCGGACGGATGAATTTAAACTACGTTTACAGAAAAGAAAATCGGTAAATAATCCAGATTAATGCAACCGTTTTTATGTTTTTTTGTAGTAAATAAGTTTGTTTGCCATGAAAAAAACTTTAACAACGAAATGTTGTTGCTTGAAATGAGAAGAATTGAAAAGAGCTTCGAGTCATCTCATCGTTTTGGGTCATTTTGTTCTGTTTTTAAATTATTTTCAATCATTCTATTATCAACTCCATCTTCATCATGAGTTTCAGAGTTTATAAATGTAACCAATTTTTCATGGTAAAACTTCAACTAAAACTAAAAAATAGCAGAATTAAGGATTTTCACTGTTAAAGAGAAAAATAATGTTAATTACAATGTTAAAAATGTACGCTTACAGATTCGTTTATGGACAATCCGCGAATTACTGTGCATATAATTTAAAGATAATCTGTATATATTTGGTACCATAGGACAATAGTATATAGTACATATCTATATTCAAATTTAGCTATTTCATGATGGATTCCATAAAGTCCCTTGAAATATAATATATAATATAGTAAGAATTGTATTATTATCTAAATATATAATTTATATATGTTTTATAAATAATATATTTATTTGCTTTGGTCATTAAAAGTTTTGTTAACATTTGAAAATACCCAGCATTTGCTCATATATATGTATGTATATAATTATGTGTCCATGTAAACAAATATGAAAGAACGCATAATGTTTGTATATCTGTCTCCATGCAAAATATGTTTGTATGTAAATATGTACACTAATTGCTTTATGCGAAGTCTCCGTTGAAACGGACAACCAATGGTGAAACTCCCGTTTTTTGTTTTCATGTCAAAAAGTCAATGTGTCGAAGAACTGACGCGACGACAAAGCGTCACAACATTGTATTGTTGGCAGAAAATCCAAGCTGTGTCGAAAAAAACAAACGAACGATCGCCGATTCGCACCGTATGTATGTTTATGTATGAGAATGCATATACAGATATCGACGCAGATTTTTGCGAGCCATGGAAAAATATCTTAACATATTTAAACAATCCATCAAATAGCGCTTCAAAAATGAGCAGAAATCGAAAACCTCAAATTTCTGAATGCACTGAACGCCATTTCAGCAGAGACTTATAACAAGTGTAACACTTCTGACACGTACCATACGTATTGACAGGCTTTAGCGCATAAGGATACTATTTTGAAGTTGAAATAAAATTTTTTTATTAAAAATGTGCAAATGTAGTTTTTTTGTCAGTTCGGGTAAATTTTGATCAGATGGTACCTAGTTTATAGCCACCACACTGTCAAATTTAAATTATTTTTTCTTATATTTTTACACACACATGAAGCGTGAAGCGCTCTTATTTATTGTCATCATCTTACATGTTTGTTTACTAGTATTTGCTTTTCATATTTATCATTCACTTACGATAAAGTTTAATTGTGCCCTCTGTATCACCAAGAGAATTCTTCGCCACACAACCGTAAAAACCAAAATCCGCAGTGTCAACATCTTTTATGGTTAATCGCATCGTTATTTTGTAGCCAGTTTCAAAAGTTTCGAATGCAAAGTGTTCACCTGAGAAACAAAATCGAAGTATAATGTGTTAATGAGATAGTTTTAAATAGGTAAGTCTAATTGAAATTATACCTTGTATAATTAGGTATAATAGAATTTCGCAAAGCTAGCTTGAGCAAAGCAGCTTGTACTATTTGCCTCAAATTAGTACATTTCACTCAATCAAAGGTTGGAGATATTTTAAAATTGATAAGGATTACATTAAAATCGACTCTATGTCAGGTACTACATTATTGAAGGAAACTATTGATCTTTCCGGGCCAAGGTACACAAACATATATATGGGAAACAGGTAAATAGCACCCGCCTACGGACATAAATAGTTATTGTATACACCAAAAAAATTACTTTTTAGGTATGATGATTATTTTGGAGTATTTCAATAGAAATATAGGGACAAAATGTAATTTCTGACCATTCCTGACTTTTAGTAAACGTATTTCAGTTAATTGAAACATAGCGATGTAAGATAAAGTTATGTTAAAAGGTTGAGGTATGATGAATTGATGCTGGGATAGGAATAAAAATTTATAAGATAAAGGAAGATTTATTGGCGAATCCAAAAAAATTACCTCAAGTCGCAACATTGACGAGCTTTCTATATGACTTCAACTACAACAGCGGCTACCGAAGTAATTTTACTAATATTTGTTTTCATATTCATCTAATCAAACGTTAAAAATTATCTCGAATACTTATTTAAAACAAGATTCAAAGTAGATTTAATTGTTAATATTTAAGAAATTAAAAATATTTTATGTTAAATATTTATTCGTTTTTACCATATTTAGGTAGAAGAAATGCGTTCGTATAGTCAAAAATTAAAATTTCAAATTTCGTTCCGTCTGAGCTTAATTCAGTTTGAAATTTTAATTTATTTGCGTGCATGTGCGTCACTTAACCACAAAAATGCATTAAGTTCTTGAATTTTTGTCGACTTTATTTGCATATGACTCCAAAACCACCACAAAACATGTGGCAGTGTGACCATGAGAGACATATGGAAAACAGCACGTATTTACATCCCAAAAGAAAATCATTGCAATAAAAACAAGTGAATACTCGGACAAACAGTCAGTGAAAGTATTTGAGGAGGGGAAAAAAGTCCTCATACAGTGATGCACAGATAAAAGCAAGTGTACGAACACTATAAAATAAAATAATTTCAAGGAGAGTAAACAAAACAAAGGGAGAAAGTGGTATGGAGACAGCTCATCAGTGAGCGATGCGATTGCTTAAACTAATATAATCAAATAGTAAAAGCATCAGTTCTGATATACTGCTTATTGCATTGCTACCGAGTGGTTTTCAAAAACCAAAAAGTAAAGTCAGAAATATATCTACACAGCTACTAAATGTTTATGTGGTATATGACGAAGAGAGAAAAAACTGTATTGCAATCTTCCAACTTTCCGATAAAAATCATACCATAAACAGTATATATTTTGATTGACAATACGTTTTAGTTCAAGCTCTTGATGTGTAAGGAATTTGAAGCTCAGTTTAGAAAACTTTCAAATAAAATTCTGGTATTTACTTTTTGTCCTTAACATCCTATTTTCATTAATACAGACATAATGTATAATGCCAATATCTATATAAAAATAACTTGTATTACATTAGATTGAAATCTAAGGAACACACCTCGGCGCATTTTGGTTTTACAGGAGATAAAATAATTTCGCATTTAGGTCAAATTTTAAATACTGCTTAGCTTAATCGAATTAAGTTGGAATTCAAGAGGAAATTTTAGTTAAGAGATTTAAAATTTTTTTATATTTCGATAGTTTAGATTTCAAAAATATTCTAAAATAAGTATTTTAAAAAATTTATAATATTTTCAAAGTTTAACATTTTTTTATCAGTTCCCAAAAATTTTTCAGAGTTCTGGACTAAAATACCACCATAAGTCAGATGATAATTAAATAGGATTGAACTAATGCCTTGAAGTTCACAGAGCGCATAATATTGTTATTGTAGTTTGTAATAATTTATAAAATTTGATAAAATGAAAACATCATATTCTTTTTTTTTTCTTACCCGGTACAATGATCGTGTCATTTTTCGTCCAATAATTCATAGACTTCGGATACGCCTCCGACTGACATTCAAGTGCTATATTTTGGCCAGTGGCTATACCAACTAGTTGATTTTGAATCCAAATCAATGGAGGGACTTTAAGAAGAAACAATAGGAATAAAATAAAATAGTATTAATTATATATAACGATAACAAAACTGTTGAAGCATACCTTAAAATAATTGCATCTCTCAAATCTACTTTCACTAAAAATATTTCAAAGTAAGATCCGTCTAGATAAGGCTAATGAGCGTACCAGGCTACAGCGGAATTGCAGAAAACTGCACAGCAAGAAAAGAAAGCTCAGCTTTTTGGACTTCGCGGGATTCTTTTAGCTTAAAGTGGATCGCAAGAGATTTAATGAGTTCTTCGCCTTTGGTAAGGCTATCATTTCTCTAGTTACAGGGGTTCTAACTAGTCATTGTCCAGTCCCATGCATCAAGGTTGAAAATCTGACCATATGCTAGATATTGTAGCTGTTTGGCAGAATACAAGCTAGAAATATCTCAACTCTTCCTTTTTGACTGTCCCACCTGTGTGAGATAAAGGCTTAGACATATGGGCATAGAAATCCCTGTGAACTGGTAGGAATATTAATAAAACAAATTGGTGTGAAGGCGCTCTGCCAACTTAAACCAACTTAAAAAATACTGCATATAGCACAAAGAAGGTCAAGGATCAGTCATTAATTCTTAACTTAACTTGATAGCTTAACTCACTCTTAAATGATTCGGTTATTGGAAAGAGTTGCTTTAACAAGAGAGAGTTTAAAATGGGGTTTGTCCCCTGTAAAAACTTCTTATTTAAATATACCTTTCGTTTTTTAGCATTCTGTGTTTGCAAGTATACTTTTTGTTCCTTCAGCACTCATTACGTGAAAAGTTCAATAGTTGCCACAACCGCGTTTCACCACAAAATAAGCTTCAATTTTATAATTTGCAGATCATTAGTGTTTGTGTAGTAGTCCGTAGGAAATAAGATACCGCTGCATTACTGTTGCGCTCACTTTGGTAGTGAGCCTGGAGCTACAGGAAAAGTTCAACAGACCAAACAAGTTCAAATGCATAAAGATTACTTGCAACAACGTGCCGTTAGCTGGCAGCAAGTTGTAACCTACATGTTATTTTTACTTCAATTCTGCAAGAACTTCTCGTCAACAAAATAAAGAAGTGTTGCCTGTGAATTTGTGCTTTTTGCTGGCGAGAAATTAAGTTAAAATTTTAATTTGTAACAAAGCGCAAATAAAAGAATCCTATAATATCACAAAGGCATTTCTTAAAGCAGCTGTAACTGGCCATTTATTTGCATCTAACGGGAAACGTTCTAAAGCTCTTTCACGCAATTTCATAAAATGAAAGATTACTTAATAAGGAACAAGATCTTTTTTGAGCATCCTTATCTTAAATTTAATCGGGCAGCTATTTGCTGTGTCGTTCCAATCGGAAAAAAATGCTCGGTTGCTTTTGCTTGCACAATATTCCATGCAAAATTTCGTACAAATATATTTTGAAATAAACAAGTAAGGAAGGGCTAAGTTCGGATGTAACCGAACATTTTATACTCTCGCAGAGTCAACTGGTATACTCGTTTTAGATTTCTTTGTGGATCTTGCCGCCTTGTTCTTGTAGACCGATATTTTCGGTAAAAAGTAAACTATAGGCACTTCCCACATAACAGTTCTGTTAAAAACTACTAAAAGCGCGATAAATCAAGCACCTCTTTTACGATATCTTGGGATCTGCTAAACCGATTTAAACCAAATTCAGCACATAACATTCTTCTCATATTTCTATGTTATAGCACGAAAATGGAATCGGATTACAACCACGCCTATTTCCCATATAACACGTTTAAAGTATGCCACCTGGTGATCAAAATTATCTAAGTCGAACCAAAGCTTTTCAAGGTACTGAGTATGTGGATCCCAGTGCCTATAATTGACTTTTACCGAAAATATCGGTCAATGTGTAAGATATATAATTGAAATTCATATAGTAATAAAATTAATAAATGAAACTCTCAATAATAGTATGTCTTTGTGTCAAAAATGGGTTGAATCCGATCAGTGCTTCCTTTAATATAAAATTTTGCCAACACCTGAAGTAATTTCCCGGTCTTTGATCTTGCAAGTTGCGGGAGTATAAAATGTTCGGTTACATCCGAAATTTGAGCTTCTTAAGTTGTTTTAAACATTTATTTTTATATTTGTATATATATTTTTTGCAATATGCTTAAGTAGACCTAGGGCCTCACCTCTAAGAATTTAGTATTAACTTGGCCCCACTTAATCACCTAAACAAATTCAGACTATTTCAGTGGAAACAAAAATTTTGTACCTCGTTTTAAAATAATTTCTAATGCTTTTTATGCAAACAAAATATTTCAATGTAACTCAAAAGTCATGAATTTCAAACTAACAAAAAATTACTGAATATTTTTTATTAGTCAGAGAAACTGTTAGAGAAAAATGTTGATGAAAAACATTGCAGTGTTAGTTAGAGATAAAGTTCATCAGAAGTACGGGGTGGTTCAGAGAGGAGCCAGTAGAGTGAGGGGGCCACAGTCCCACTGGTATCACAATGGGCCTCCTAAAGGCCTAGGTGGGTCGAAATTGACTGGTTTGTACCTACTTACTTAGTTACAGATAAAGTTTATAATAAAGTAATGATTGTAATAAAATAATGAACACTTGGCTTTTCCAAGAAAGTCTAGTTTTTATTAAAATTAAATTTTTTTTATAGAATGACTTACAGTGCACAACTAACATTACGCGTTTGCTGACCGTCGGTGGAATGCCATTTGAAGCGATGCATAAATATGCACCCATATTGAATCGTTGTACCTTAGTGATCGTCAGAAAGGATCCATAGGAGGCGATGACTAGAAGAATAGAAGAAGAAAATAGGCGTGTTAATAATTTAATATGAATTACTAACAAAGCCAAGAACTAGTATTGTTATAAGTTTATGTATGGCAGAGAGATTATTTGATTATAGAACATTGTTATTTGATGTCCATTTGTTTATTATTTTAAGTTTTAAAAATATGTATATATCTGTGTTACTCAGTTAGATCTTATTAGTTCCTCTAACCAACTGAATTGAATTTGCTATTTCTTAATTTTTTTGAAGAACTTTCTCAGTGTAGAGGGCATATGAATAACTTTGTAATATTATATTTGAAAAGAGCACCTATATCGTGGAATGCCGACTGTAATAATTTTTTGCATATTTCTATTGACTATGCTTCAAAAACAATCCTAAAATCTTAAATTATGATATAAAATATTTTTGAGTTACATGATCTTAAGTGTAGCCACTCAGCTCATTAAGCGTTTTTCTTAAAACTACAATTCTGTCAAAAAATTTACTACAGTTGTAACTGGAAGGCAAATTTTCCGAACTCTTTGCTTATTTTGTATAGAGAACCTTCTTTTTCTAGATGTTATAAAAGTATAGTTTTGGTGGGGTAAAAATCTTATTTTCGAGCGAAATGCGAACATTTTCAAATTCTGTCATTATATTAGATCTCTATGTTTCAACAATGGCAAGTCATTGCATAGACAAAACCTTACAGATTAATGACCTTTCTTTTTAAATTTTTTCGTTTTGACCACGTTAAAGGCCGCAATAATGGAGGACTTGTTAACTAACTTCAAAAACGGCGAATATTTCGCTAAACAATAATTGTTCGGGGAAATTTTCTGTGTACATTAACTAATAATGCATAAATATATCGTCAAAGTTTTATCTTAAATAATATAATATCATGAATGCAGGCATAGGTTAGGTACATTCCTGTTTACCCATATAAATTTCTTTCTTATTTGATATATTATTTGAGTTATGGAAAAATTAGATCTTATTATATACATATATTGTATTATAACAGGATAATATTCTCCATACAAAGGAATGTCATATAGCAGCGATCGCTTTATTTTTATTAAACTTTGAGCAAATCTAATTTAAATGATAAGGGCGACCACTAGAAAATACGACATTTTTTAAGACATAAAGATCATATCGTTACTGTTGAATCAATTGTATTTGCTAGTTCGAGTTTCAATACACGATTCAACACTTTAAGCTACAATGATATTAAATTTCAATAATTATATAATTTTTACTAATCACTTTATATGTAATATAAATGATAATTGTATTTTCTTTTTGCTTTTAATAAATAGTAAAAATATTACTCACGTTCTGTGTTGTTGGGCAGAGGTATGGGTTCGCCACCTTCACGTCGCCACGTTATGGTCGGTGTTGGTGAGCCAACTGCTGCACATTTCAGTGTTACATTGGAGCCCTCCCGTATCACCATATCGGTGCTGGTAGGATAATCGAGTATATCAGGTGGCACTGCTTTCGCGAAATGTGGGAAGAGCGAATAACGTAACAACAACGAAACAAATAAAACAGTGATGAACCAAACAATGGGAATTGTAGTGTTGATATTGCATTGTATGACGTTGCATGGCGGTGACATAATGTTCACAGTCATTGTCATGTTGTCCAGCGAAGTCATCATCGTTGACACAATCATGATTCAACAAATGATTTTGGCATGACACGTGATTTGTGAGTAGCACCAGCAGCAGCAGCGTTGAAATGTTAAAATTTGCCAGAAGGTGGATTAGCACGTCATATAAAGATGTTGTTGGCCAGTGACAATGAAAATTTAAAAGATTTTCATTTCATTATTATATTTAATTGTCAGGAATACGGTTGCATAACAAATAATATTCGGATTATAAACCAGATCCATCAGTTGATGTTTAGTATTGTTTTTTGCGAATAGCAAAAACAAGAAAATTGCAAAAGGGTATGAGAAGAGAAAACATATTTCGTTAGTTAGCTAAATATCTCGTTAATATTATATATATCTCTACTAGCTACTAGTTAACTGTAAAATATAACATATCTAAGCACACTTTTAACCTCTGTTCTGATAATTTCTTTATTTTATGACTGTGTTATGTATAACGTTACAGTAAATATATATATACCATACATAATATACCTATATGTGCATTGGTCCGCATTTCTTGAAAAAATAAAGCGGTCATAATATAACAGTCAATAGGGAACGCCATAGAGCCATCACTTATGACTTTTGACTTATGACTAAGTTGATTTAGTGATATTGTCGATAGCGGTATTACGCCTTTCACCAGATCGTCGTGGAACGGGTTGAGCTATTAAAACTTCTGAAATTTCTACGCGGAAAAGTGACTCTTAACTTTAGAGATCCCATATTTTGCACATAAAACTTTTAGTTTCAATGCATTTACACAACTAATTTGATTAACATTTGACGATCAGCGAATCAACATGTTACCATAGATATTAAAGTTCATGTGCACTTATAACCCTTATAAGACCATTGGGTACTTTATAACCCATTGCATATTTCAGGTATGCTGAAAGTTTTAAACCCAAAATTTCGCAAGGCAACCTCTATGACCTAGGTATGTATATAAACTTCTTCATAAATTTTCACAAAAATTATACGGCGGAATATGTTCAGGCAATAATGTGTTAAACGCCTTTTCACAAAAGTTTCTCTCATTACTATACACTTAAATCTTAAAAACTTGCAGCATATGTAATACATACATGTATATATGTTAATATTAATAAATACTTTGCCGCCAGAATATAAATCTGGCTTATGTACATATGCGCGAGTAGTTGATTTCTATGAAAGAGAGAGTTTTAAAAACGTATCACCATGGAATGGAAAGTTCTATACTTGTATAGAAAACATTTACGTAATTGTGGACGGCAGTATATACGTAAAAAATCCAAAAAAATATACATATATAAAATTTTCAAGCGGACAATAAAATATATATGTGCTATTGGGAAATATATTTTTTTGGTAAAGGACAGAAGTTCACTTGCACTTGTCACTTCAGTTCGCTACTGTCGAATATGACGCGTTTTTACCGTAATATGTGAACTCGTGGTATTCCTTTAAAATTATTGATTTTTTAACATTATTGTTCTGGAAATTCATATTTCCTAAATGTAAAATTTGTTTAAAGAGAAAATAAAATTTAAACCAACTTTTAAATATAAGTAAAGACTAAATTATTTTTATTGAAAACTCCACAAATAGCTTCACCCTAAAAAACTGTTTAAACACATTCAAATATATTTTACCTTACAATACATTATTAATGGCAAAGGAAACAGGGTTTAATTGGATTAATATTTTTTTCAATACGAAGACAGAAAACCCATCGCAGAAAACTCTGTGTTTAATAATGAAATGCTTATTCAAGTATATGTTACAGTAATTTTTTCAGATAAAAAATGTGCATTCCTTAAAAGGCCCTCCAGTTATATGCTGAAGTTGAAGTTCACATTTTCATAGCATTTCCAATTAAAACAACGCAATACTTACAGCAGAGCAAAACTGATGCGGCTCCCGATAAGACAGTTTCAAAAGAAAGCTTTGCTCTAATCGGCACTACTTACAACATTGTTGGTTCCAGCTGCTGTTCAACTTTAAACCAATAAGAGGTTAGACATGGATGAGTTAAGCGTGCATACATGCATACTCAAAGCCCTAATTGCGTAAAAAACGTAAAACATCTAGCGATAAATTAAAAGGGATGCACGTGGCATGTCGTACACGTAACTTTTGCATATGGTGTTACAATGCATATGACAACCTGCATGAATATTACGGGTATGTTCGAAAGAAACGCCAACAAGCAAACTACTAAAAATAACGGTAAATATACGCTAATTGAATGCATATACTGGCCAAAACAAGAATTATCAGAAAACAATGCGAAAATTCTTTTTAGTTATTTGCTACGATCTCACTAAAACATAATCACTAAAGCAGATATAACTATTTTCCTTGAACGGTCCAAAAGTTTTTTCAGTATACCCTATAGAATATTAGAATACTAAAGTCTCTTTTCCTGTTATCAAAATTCTCATAAAAGTTTCCGTTAAGTCAAGCAAACTAATAGTACTCATCATATATATTAAATTTTTATGAACGTATCATTTTGAGTGTTCTCCTAGAATTCTCAGGTATATGTCTATATATTTGAACTAATATTAATTAAGAAATCAATTTGGGAATACCATGAGCATATCGTTATCCTCTATTCCGATGAATGGCTGTCACAAATTGATTTTTTCATAATATGACTATTGAGGTTACTTTTAAAATAATAATACTTCTTTATTGCCCTTCTATAATAAAGTTGGATTTCGGGGAAAAATAAAACGCATATACTTTAAGGTTATGTCCAAACTTTATTACAAAGATAAAAGTTTATATAGAGGTTTTAAAAATTATATCGGAACAAGAGACTACCGTGGCTGGCTCAAATAAATTCCAGCCGAGTGGCCCATTATTTAAGTAGAAGGTGTATGTATTGTACTTTAATTTGAGTGCATTTAAATATAGTATGTGTAAGGTAAACCAATAAATATAAATCCTAACATCTAGATTGCTGGTCATCTAGATTGCTGCTGGTATTTATATATATCCCAGTAGCTTATAGGTCCCTTAGGGTATACTGATAATGTTAGTAATCACTGTGTTTGAGTATTTGAGATACGTCCCTTATTTGACTCAATTACGATTTTCGTACTCACCTACAACATCTAGGTAACCAACTTGAATCTTCATCGGATCTGTATTGATCTGACACATATACCAGCCTTTGTCCGCTTCATTGATGTCACGAATTCTCAATATCCAAGCACGTTTCTCAGCGTGGGTTATGCTCATTCGATGGTTTTTCGTTATAACGTGATTTTGTATCGTCAGTATGGTTTGTGTATCGACACGCAGCCACGCAATCTAGGCAAAATTCGACGTAATTATATGGGCCACAAAGACATGTGTGTGTTTGTATATGTAGGTGTATGGGTAGGTCATAATGTCAACCCGTTTGACGCAACCCATTCATTTTTATATTGGCATATAATATGCCGCAACAAGCACACATTTATTTACAAGTTCATTCAATAGTTTGTTTTTGTGAGTTCGGATGCGCGTATTGTCGGTTTGTTCATTTATCCGTGGGACGTTCCAGTAGTTGTGATGATTTTTCCACGTGTAAATGTGTATGTGTAGGTTAGCATCCGTAAGAAAGGAAAAGGAAATAGAGAAGAAAACTTATTTTAAATTGTTTGTTTGCCTTAGGTTTAATGGCTGAACTTTGAGTTAGCCAGTAATTTGTTGAGTTTGTATGTAAGTATACTCATGCCTTGCCATCATATGGATAAATATGATTGCAGTGAAACCTTGATATAACGAATTCCTTGATATAACGAATTTTTCAAAATCCCCTAGCACTGCCCATAAGAGCTCATGTAAAATGTGTAAAATTCGTATTACGAATATTTTTTTTTTTCAACCCCACTATAACGAATTTTTAGACTCAGCAAAATATAGATCGAAACTATTTTTGACCTTTACTTAACGAATTTTTTGATCTATTACCTTCATATAACGAATGACTGCTTTTCTCGTCAGCTGTTTGACTGTAGTCAAAAACATCCCCACCTCAGTTAATCGCTTTTTGACTATAGTTTGCCCACTCCCTCCACTAGCTGGCAAAAGCTGATGATTTGATTGGCTCGCAGCTACTTGCGACTTTTCCAAGAAGCTGAGGATGCAAAGCTTTAATTTTCAATTCCTCTTTCGCTGCAACTACGATCACTACCTACAATCTTCCGTAAAACAGTTTTTATAAAAACTAAACTTCGTCCTTTGATCCAGTAAATTCAGTTGCAATAGCTGAAAAACGTAAAAGGTGTTCGTTAAGTGTTGCAGAGAAACGAAAAATAATCAACTTTGTAGACGAAAATCCTTTAGTAAACCTAAACTACCTTGTTATAACGAACCAAGTTCAATTTAACTTCTATATAACAAACCTTACTATAACGAATAACTCGATATAACGAAAGTTTTCTAGTTCCTTTCAAATTCGCTATATCAAGGTAACACTATGTGCATCATTAAGGACATATGTTGATGAATATATAAGTGTAATATTTATAAATCTTAATATCCGCTTGATTGCTTGTGACCATTTCGGATCTCTCAATGAATTATTTAAGGTCGAGTACGCGTTTCTTTTTTTGGGAATAGGGAGACAAGAAAAAGCTTTAACTTTGGTTGCACAGATGCTATAATACCTCAACACAAAAGATTTTTTTACAACAACATGATTTTGATTCTTATTACCGTATTTGTTGTAGCCTTTAGTAAGAGAGGTGAAAGGTGAAAAGTAAGGAGAGGAGCGATTTAATACAGAAGTCGGATGTTGCTGCTTAAGAATGGCATGTCGGATTTTATATTCAAATAACTATATTCGTATCGTATGATATCGTCCCAAAAAAAAAATGTATGTTCAATTTTTTAAGCATTTGAACCAACACTAAACAGAAATTAATTAGCACGCATAACCTACATACATATATCGCTCCTCAATAAAACTAGGCACATATATCAATATAAAAATCTCACTCGATGTCAGGCGTCATTATATTTTATAATTTCACTAAAATATGTGTGCAGTATCAGGGCTTATATACGTGAGAGTAAGTATGACAATAAGTAAATACTGCTTAGGAAATAACAAACAAGCTAAGAGAACCTTTTCCTCTTACCATTCCTAAAAATATGGAGTAATCCTTAAATGTCAGTTTTCATAGAAAAAAATTGGTTTTTCAATTACTTCATATCTACAGATGTACACATTTATATACTTATATGTATTTGTTTTATTAGTTTTAATTTTTAACGACTTACTTTGTAGGTCTGCAAATTATCGACAACACATTGCAGTACCGCCTCTCTTCCCACTGGTACTGTAACATTTTGTATTGGCTCACCAAATTTTGGTAAATCTGTTAGCAAATGAAAAAATAAAATATTTCCTTAGTTAAATGCACACTTACAGGCGCTAAAGAAAAATAAAGAGTTTTATAGAGGTTTTTATTAGAATATTTCCAATATATTCTGATAAACCTGTTATCTGCTTGGTAAGTGTTAATATTAAACAGATTATGTACTTTAAAGAATATGCTACTACTATAGCAGAGATAGGTTTGGGAAGTGGTAATAACTTTTATTGAAAGTTTTATTTAAATAAAATATGTAAAGAACTATATAAATAAAATTCATATAAATAAAGAAAAAAAAATATGTATATATAAATAAAATTCATATTTATATTTGATATTTCTATATTTAGGAAACAAGAAATCATTTTCGGTATATACTTTCACACACCCGGTAAACGTTGTTTTACCATATACAATATGTTATATTTTATTAAGGTAACCAATTTAAGTACATTAAATTATAACTATTGAGCTGATCTATACATCGAAAATTTTTCATATTATATTTCATATCTCTAGCACTAATTATGGCAATTTAAAATAAACAAATATAATTCTCTCAACGCAATGATGTGTAAAATATTTTTGGTCATCCCGTCTTTAGCAAATGTGCAAATATATGCACATGTTAATTACAGTTGTCCATGAGAAATGATGTACCTAAATCTGATCTTCATTTCGAATACCAGTCTAATTAGAAATTGGGAGCGTTGGAATTCAATTGGAACATCTGTAAGAATCAAATAAATACGTGGCAACAATACATTTTCGCTTCTAAACTTCCCATTCAAAATTATGGCTACGATTATGTTTTTGATTAATTTTTAATGACTAATCTTGTATAATCGTTAAGCCATACTGGGTTTGAATACAAGCAAAATAAGCGGCGATGCAACCTTTAGTTGTAAATGGTGCAGTAGCATGCCCGGCATAACCAATGTTTTAAAAACTCAATTCACATTTTCGTTGGCGTCACAAACAACATTGAGAGCTTTGCATGACACCAAGTCCCCTGGCAACAACTGTCCACATTTTTTGCTGCCAAATTCGTTCTTTCTGCCAGTTCCTCAAGATTTGTTTGTACATCGGGAAATATATTGTCAATGAGAGTATTTTATGAGTTGATGATTGTGCATAAATACGTCAATTTCTGCATATTTTCTTGTGCAGCAGCTTTTCCATTGCCTTGGGTATTGGCAAAACGTGGTTTTGAGAAAGTTTCGACACTCTTTCAGCACTGTGGCCATGGATATATAAATTTGTTTAATAAAGCAGACTACATTTGCTTTACTTTGAATATTTAATGGCAGCTTGCATGCGGAATGAGCTTTGCTACCTCCATCTAATAAAGTTGGTGCAATGCCAGATGGTACCACGGCAACTGTGAAGCCTTTCTTTGGTCGTAGCTCTGCAAGCAGAAACGAAAGAAGCAACGTTTTTCCAGTCCACCTGGTGCATCTGAAAATAAAGCCCCCTTACCTTGCCGAAGGATTTTGTTTTTTGTTCATCGTTTAGTAAAAAAAAATTGCGGGAAACAGTCGATGCCAATTCGACAGTATCATATATCATTTCACGTTTAATATTTGTGTTGCTTAAATCAGATGCACTTCGATTTGGTGATATCATACCGATATGACTGATTGGTAAATTCACAATGACAATGCAATGGTCCCGAATAGCAGTTAATGCTCATTGTACATTGGGTGACAATCGCTAGATCGTTGCGCCTTGTATGATGTCGATAAAATATATCATCAGTCATCGAATCTTTGTGATTATGCCATAACATTTGTGATCGGGACAGGAAATATGTCGTTAGTACTATAGCAAATAGTTGACGAATTTGTGTTCCTAAGTAGTTCAATTCAGCAGTAAAATAGCGTGGTGCTTCTGAACAGAGAAGTGTTTGTGCAAAGGCACCACGATTATACAATTAAAAAAATATTCGGTGAGCGTAGTTTTTGGTGTATTTATAGCACGATCAAGTGCTGTTTCGTTCATGAAAAATAGACATTGGCCGTTTTTGAGATGCACAAAGAAATTATCTTAAATTCACAATGAGAATAACATTAACTTGCGCGTTGCACTGTAAATTGAAATGTGATCGGAAGACAAGTAAAACCAAAAAAATGGAAGCCGGCTTCGTTTTCATCCCTACTCCCTGATGCTTGAAAATTATATTGTACTACAAATATTATATTGGATAACTGTCTTGTGGATCTGCGGATGGAACAGACAATATAACGAATGCAAAAACTGCGATTTAAAATCCGAGGTTGATCGTAAATTGTGAAAATTTGGAATTGTATGTGTTTTGTAACTCTGAATCATGGTGAAAAAATTGTGTCCAAAAAAAGAAAAAAAAAAACATTGTGGCACCCTTACCATTTACTTGTATGAAAAGTAAGTGTTGGCCGATTTTCTAACCTATCCGATTAGCATACCAAATTTCTTCAAAATCGGAATAGCCGTTTCGGAGGTGTTTGGCAACAAAAAATTTTATATATTACATTAAATTCCACATGATATAAACGACGCACTGTTGCATGACAAACCAAATAATACAATTTGACAAAAGTTAAACATTTAAACAGTTTTGTTATTTGGTGGAGACTCTCTTTGGAATAGCACGACTTCCCCACAGTCTTATAGTAGTCGCTGTCGCTAAATTAAAACCATTGCCGACGAATGGGCAGCTGTAGTGATACCACAAATATGTGAAATATACAATTATTCAAAACTCTAACAAGTCTAACGTTTGTTTATCACCGGAAGCATAAAACAGCTAGATATATTATTTGTAGTAATTTTGAAACAAATTAATCGAGTTATTTACTTAGTTTTTGCAAAAAAAAAATTCACTTTGAACAAAATATTTAAATTTCATTAAAATGAAGAGCTTTAGTACGTCAGCAAAGAAATTGCGTACATCAGATGTGTGATATGTCGTTGCCGTCTTCACAATATTCAAGAAGCTGGCTTGAAGACGACATTTGCAGAAAAGAAAATTTCGCTGTCGTGCAGTCGTCTTTGTGTTTAATGATATACTCTCTGTGCACTCACGCGGAGGAAACACCATAGAAACATGTGTACGTATTTATCAACACAAGCGAATGATAAACTGCGTAAGCGCATATTCGACTGAACACAAATATATAATATATAAATTCACCAATATGTGCACACTGCGTCAATCAAAAACCTCAAGCAAGTACTGCGAGACGAGCTGACTATAAGATTGAAAAGCGATTTACAAAAACGTAAAGATTTGCAATAAGATTATATGCAGTAATTTGTATGCGATTAGCTGGTGCACACAAATAAGTGTATATACGCTTATGCATATCAAAATGTTTACTCTGAAGATGGGTATATTTAGTTTGCCACGATGTTTGTAACACTCAGAAAAAAACATCGGAGACCCTATAAAGTATTTACTCGTATATAAATAATCAGAGTGACGAGCTGATTCGATTTAGCCACGTTCGTCTGTCTGTCTGTATATACCCGAACTAGCCTTATATAAAACTGTTTTCTGCAAGGTATCTTCACGAAATCTTGAAGGTAACAAAATGTTTTTCCTCGGATACTTACAAATAAACTTTTTGTCTAAAACTAATATACGCGTTACAAAAGGTATTAATTTGAACAAAATACGATAACAAAATACAGTAGTATAATGGAGATTAAGTTAAAAAAAAATATTTTCATTAGCATTTGAGGGGCATGTGAATTTATTTTCAGAACTACAAGTAGTATCACATAATATATGCTTTGTATATGGGGTATATGACCTAAGAAGTATTTTATGTTAATTTATCGCCTTCTAAAAGGAGCGTTGTATTAAAACACAAAAAGTGCTCTTAAACTTTGATTAATATCCCTAGAAACAGTTATTAAGAAAATAGTCACACATTAGACACACATTCGAGAGATTGAGCATGGGTTTAACACCAACTTTCATTGAGCGCATTTTTGCTTGTTGCAAACTTAATAACTCCTTTATACCAATTTTGGTCCAAACCTTTTCCTTCACAGCATCTTAACAGAGACATCTTAATTTAGACCACTTGGCCTATCTTTATAATTTCATTTTAAATAACATTAGAGTATTTAACTGTCTAGTGTATATGATTAAGTAGCCTTTTTTATCGAACCAATATCTATCATTTGAGGCTTAAATGACGTAATAATAGCTTTTCTATTTGTATATTAATATATTGGTAAAATTATGTTAAATTGCTGATAAGTACTCATATCTAAAAAACTTAAGCTAAAATATCCTGAGTGTACTTGTTTACTCATTTGTTGCTACTTTTTGCTTGAATTGTCACATTATGTTGTTTATCATGAGTTCAAACTTTTTCAAGCGATGGCTTTGAAACGCATGAGACTCCAAGCTTAATTCGGTTGCTACTGTCATCGTTAACAAGAAAATTACTGACAACAACAAAGCTATTCGAGCTTCCGTCAAGTCTATATGCTTGATCATGTTCTTCTGTTTTGTTGTTATGGCTATGACGCCAAGCTTACAACTATTGATACATGCGCATACATATATAATATGTATGTAGGTTCCAAAGTTAATAAGTGAAAGTGTTAAGTTATGTAAGTACTTAGGTATTTATCAATATGTGCATATTTCAAGTGATTTATCTTGATCACGCAGACATGTGTTTTTGTTTATGTGGTTCTGTAGGTATTTGCACATTTTTATTACTTAGCCAGTTGTTAGACGGTATGTAAATGTTAATAAACACTGTCTTAGCTTTTCTTCTATAGAAGTTGGCATTATTGTTGTTGTCTCTCCATTTCCGGTGCATATAATTTTTTGTCACTTCAATCTATAGAGTGTCAATAAACTTTGTTATGCAAATGCTGGTATAACTATGTTCAATGACTGGCGCACAGCAAAGCTCCTTGTGAATCGGGGCAGCACGATTTAATGTTTAATTACTTTAGATACTTTCAAAATGGACATGTTCAGAAAGAAACAGAACTTT